AGACATCAAGTGAAAAACCAAGATTATGAGTATCTTAAGTCCATATACTTGCACTAATTCTCCAACAAATAAGTGTAATTTATATAAGAGAGAGCTTTGTTAGAATACGAACCCACTAGTGAGATTTTTCAACCCACCAATCTTTATTTCATGATTGGATCTAATGTTTTTTATTTTCTAACCATAACCTGCTCATTATTGATTCTAAAAGATCCTCTAACTTAAGATTTTGGGATCTTGTATCAGAGGCCATCTTTTGAGTTCAAAGAACTGCTCTAGTGGATAGTAAGAGTTCCAACTTGGATTAAATCCAGGAGGAGAGTTAGATGGATCTACTGTAGAAGAAACTTGTGCAGAAGGAAAAGGTATTCCAGCATATAAAAAATGAAAAATAACATGAGAGAAAGAGAGAGAGAAGAGACGAGATGCTGGAATCTCCTGAATCACAAGGTACGTTCGTTTCATCACTTTTGTTTTCATAACCTCCTGACAAGGAATTTGTTACAATATATATAGCAGACTTTCTTCAAGATTTTCCAGCCCTGGCAATAGAATAAAACATTCATGACTTAACAATTAGAAGAGATAAAAACGGTGTGTATTGGCTTAACATTGCCGCGACAAACGCTGTCGTTCCAAGCCAGCGAGTTTCTTTCCTTTAAACAAAACGCTGCGCATCATTAACTAACCAAAACGCTGCACCTTACTAATCCAAACGATGCGTTATGTAACGGTCTTCATGGCGACGGTCATTTGTTTAAATTCAAAGCATCGCTGTAGCTAACTTCTCTTCAGAATTGATGCTGTGACAGGAGGAGTCGTCTTGGGTATGAAGATCATTCAGAGATTGCAGATACTAACGTCTTCTTCAAAAAACTAGTGGAGTTTTTTTTGCAATTATCCTTTAATATAATAGTTTGGAGTCGACGAACATGGATGTTGAGGAGTATTTATTGAGAGAGGCAATTGGTTGGAGTAATTTCCTGTCAATATTTGCTCCGAAACATATCGATTTGCAGCTTCTGTATAATGATTTCCATCCCAATTAACATATTCAGCTGTGTCGTTGCAAGGGCTCCCTGTCACTTTGCTGCCGTTAAGAACCTTGGTTTGACCGCAAGCAATTCTGTTGTCAAAATTCAATGGCGGCCCGCCATATCCACAGCAAGCTGCTAGCGAATGTTTGAATCCTGGATGCATGGTTCATGAGATTTTGCAAGTGCATGAAAAGGTAATGTTGTGGGGGAGATTGAGTGAAACCAATTACAACTTATTACTTACCATATTGTGAAAAATCTGCAATGAGTTTCATTTTTATTGAGAAAATGTCCACATAAGTGACATTAGCATCTGGGAATTGCCCCTGAAACTTTGTGCAAAGATCATGCAGTTGTGAGTTGAAAACACTAGCTGCACGGTTATGTGAATCAACACATACAGGCTGGTCAAGCTTTGATGGGTTTTTCCCAAATGTTGCAATGATTCTAGGTAAGCAGCCAAGAGGTCCTGTATTATGAACCCAGAAATTCCGAGCACCGGCGGTATATAGTATCTGTAGAACACCAAAAATTAAAGAAGAGAAAGGTTAGTGCCACAACTAAGCTATTCTCCCAAGTACTATTTTGAAAAAAAAAACAAACAGAATGAAGGATTACAACCTTAATTCCAGCTTCAAACTCTGATAAAATGGTTGGAAAAGAGGCTATCACTTGGTCCTCAGATTTCGAATAAAACGCGCCGTCGATGTCATTCTGACCCATGTCGAACATGTAAAGGCCTTGCATGAAATAATCTTCTAGAGGGAGGTACTTCTGAAATTCCTTGTCTATAACAAGTAATATATCTCCATTAGCGAAAAGCATTTTCTGCACATGCTAAAATCAGTTGAAAGATATAGAAAATACCCTCGGCTAGCAATTGAAGAACTCTGTCCTTGAATCGGACAAGCTGAGCCACCTGAACTCCAAATGAAAAGGGACAAATCGAAGCAGCATTTGCAGGAAGTATAGTAGATCCTCCTGTTGCAAAGTTACACCCCTTCTGAAAGTTAGGAGCTCCCACAGAATCCAAATATGGATTCAGAAACTGTCGGTCCATGGCATCCACTGCAAAAATAAGCCCATGCGATTGTAGGAGATTAAAGATGTAAAAAGCAAGAAATTGATGATGAGATAAATGCATTACTTAAAAAATCGATGATCAAGCGGCCATCACAGAACCGCCCCTGTGGCTGCTGGAAGTAGGTTTGTCCATTGGGAGGCCCAACGGGAAAGGCAAGACCTGCAACAAGACCACCGGTGTCTGAATTTGAATCACCGAAATTGAAAACGGCAGGATAGCTGAATTTCAAAGGGATAATAACAGTAGGCAGGAATGAGAAAATGAAGGCCACCAGTGTTTGGATGGCAGAAAATTTAAGAGCCATGGCAATTTGCAAGGGATCAGAAGCTATAATTGCAAATCACAAAAATGCACCCATCTTTATATTACATGATACTCAAATTGCTCCGACTTAGACTTTGCTGAAAAGCGAAGACAACAAATTTGTCATGAAAGATAGATACAAGGACCCATATCTTGCCTCCTCCTCTTTTCTTTTCTTTTTTCTTTCCTTTTTCTTGAAGTCAAGTGTTTGGAAATGTGGTAATTTATGTTTTTAGATGTTTTTTAAAATTATATTTTACCTTATTTTAAATTGATGTTTTTATTATTTTTTTTAATTTTAAAATGTTTATATCAAAAAAATTTAAAAAAATTATTTATATATATTTAAAAAAAATACTCTACACCACACAAATATGCATAAGTAAAGCCTCTCTAAAAAAAGTCAAAGCAGTGATCATGCCATATATATATATATTCGTGATTAAAGCCTCTCTAAAAAAAGTCAAAGCAGTGGTCATGCCATATATATATATATATATATTCGTGATTATTAATCAGTTAGTCTTGTGAAGTTATTGGTTAACAAATAAAATGTCTTAAGGAATGAGGCTAATATTGTCAATTCCAGAGTCCACGGAGGAAGGAGTATATTAGTAAAATATTATAGCTATTTTTACTGTTTATCCTTTCATAATTCACTGTTTATATTGCAATAGTGCATTTTTAAACATTTTTATTTTAGTCCTTAAACTTTTCTTTTCACAATTAAGCTCTTTTGATCCCAAATCAGCACCCAATTATATGTTTTTTTAGGAAGGGACGGAAGGTTTAATTGAAAAAAAGAGAATTGAAGTGAAAAATAAGGGTAACATAGGTGATGGATTTAAATTTGTTTTAAAAGTTCATTTTCATTCCTTTTTTTTTTATCTATTAGGTAATTAGTCTTTAAAATTTTTAAAAAATACATTTTGATATGAAATTTTATTTTTGTTTTTTTAGTCTTTTTTGGGTGGAGAAAAGAGAAAAGAGGATTGAAGCGAAAAACAAGGGTAACATGGGTCACAGATTTTAAATTTATTTCAAAATATAAAAAATAAATTTAAAACTAAGAAGATTTTTAATTTTATATTGATTTTAGGTTTTGAGGTAATTTTGTTTTTGTGTGTTTTAAAGGACATGGATTGGTTTAAAAAGGTTGTTACGGTGTTTTCTAAGGGAAAAAATATATTCAAAATGAGTTTTTGGAGAGGAAAAAAAAACCATACTTTGAAATTTCCATATAATATATCGTTTGTTTTTGTTTCAAGATATTAGGGTAAAGAACCTATTAAACAAAAAAAAAATATAAAGGCCTGGGTGATTGGGTCCAATCTTTTAGGCCGATGCATGGATCTTTTTTTAATTGAATCAAGTATTAGGATTGATTTATCAGGCCCAACAATACTCAGTCTCATTGTTTTTTTTTTTAAATAATTTTTTTATGTTAATATATTTTTCATATGTATTTCTGAAAATAATTTTTAAATTTATGTTTTAATTAATATCTTTTTCTATTTTTTGAGTTTTTAGCTTTTGTTGAATAACAATTATTTTTTAATTATATTAGATGTGTTTAATTTTTGTATAGGTTAGTATGTTTTATATGTAATTTCTTTTGTATAATTTATATAAATTAAGTATTTAATTTTTTATAATATTTTTAATATGTGTAACCTTACATAATATTTTTTTTATTTTATTCAATAAATTTTATGTATGACAATCTCAATTACAAATTGATTTATTATAAACAAAATTATTAAACATAATCAGATAAATGACTCGTATTATGATATTAAGTATCTTAATTTATATTAGTCTCTTGATTTTTTTAATTATATTTTTATTTATTATTAATTACTTTTTTATTTATTTTCTACACAATAGTTCATGACTTATTTAATTAGATATGTTTATAAGTTTTTTTTATGTATATTTATAATTTTTTATGTAAGAAAACACGTTGAAAGATTATACTTGTTAAGTCTTTTATCATATAATTATGTTTTCAATTTAATCTTTATTCTTATGACTTTTTTCTTAACTCTTTTATCAAAAACTTATTGTTTTTAACTTTATTCTTCTATCCAAATTGATAATGTATTTTTTTTATCCTTATTAATCAATTTATATAAATGTGTGAGTGTGTTTATCTATTTATTATTGTTTCTTTTTTTTTATCATATGATTCAAATAAAGAAAAATATTTAGTTAGTTGAGACAAATATTGAGTAATTAAATTTCTCTTCTTTTTGTTTTTTTAAATGTGCTCTACTAATATCTTATTTGTTTTTATATTTCAAAACACTTTTAAAAATTTTAATTTTTTTATTTTTTTACTTTAAATTAATATTTTTTTTATTTTTTTTCAAATCATCTTAATATAATAATATCAAAACTAATTTTTTTAAAATAAAAAATTATTATTTTATTTTTTAAAATAAAAAATATTTTTTAAAATAATTACAATTATACTCACAGAGATTCTTTAGACCCTAACTGAGACCTCAGGCTGCCTGAATGGGCCACAAAACATCGAATCGGGTCGGGCTCATAGTTTTCACATCAAAAAACCAAAACCCCTAAAACCCCAAGCCACTGGAACAGCGAGTCTCCCTCTCTCTCTCTGTAACATTTCGTTTCTGAATAGAACCCAGATGGCTTCTTTGGCCCTTAGAAACCCTAATTCGAAGCGACTTTTACCATTCTCCTCACAATTCTACTGCTGCTGCCGAGGATCGCCATCTTCCCTAACTGAATCTCTTCTCTCGTCAAATGACAGAACCTCTTCTTCTCCATGGTGGAGATCCATGGCCACCTTCACCAGAACGTAAGTTTACTTTATTTTCTCCCTCCTTTTATGGTTTTCTAGAAACTTTTGCGGTTTTCTTCCGAATATTCTCTCTTTTTGTAGACAAAAGATTCGAGGGAGAAAAACAAAATTCGTGATACTGTTTTCTTTTTCTTTGATTCTTTTGTTTTTTAGCCTTGTTTTAAGTTTATCTGGGTGAAAAGAGAAAGCCAACATTGATGAATTTTTGTGCTAACCCATCAGGAAATAGAGGGGGAAAATGATGATGAAGGAATGGGGTAGCTGGTGAAAGAATGAAGAAAAGGAGTGACTTGAATAGATTGTTGATTGTATAATTTGTTGTTTTTTTTTTTGTGTTGACAGTAAACCTCATGTGAATGTGGGAACAATTGGACATGTTGATCACGGCAAGACTACCTTGACTGCTGCTATTACCAAGGTTTGGTTTACTCTTGCATTTTCTTGGTTCTGAAAGTTTGGAACATTCGATTGGGTAGGACCTTAAGTGTTTGTTTGTGTTTAGGTGCTAGCAGAAGAAGGGAAAGCCAAGGCCATTGCTTTTGATGAAATTGACAAGGCCCCTGAAGAGAAAAAGAGAGGAATTACGATTGCAACGGTTGGAATGACCTCCCCTCCCCTTACCTTGCCTTATTTTCTGCATGCATTTCATATAGTAAATTCATTTTTTTATAACACTTTACTTAGTGCTACATTTATCATTTTGGATATGCCAAGTATGGATTATTATTTTTGTGGTCTTGCCTTTTCCTTTTAATATATATGTGGTTTTTATTCTGATCTTTTAATCTACTGTTGCAGGCCCACGTGGAGTATGAAACTGCTAAGCGTCACTATGCCCATGTAGACTGCCCTGGTCATGCAGATTATGTTAAAGTAAGTCATGGATTTAGTTTATTATTGAATGAAAAACGAAGATACATTTCAATTTTTGGATTCTTTGGCTGCATAACATGCTAGGCTCAATTTGCATTGTCGCAATTATTGTATGTAAAGAATTAAAGATGGGGGAGGTTCTAGAAATATGTAGCAAGACTGATGAATGCATGACAAGGATAATTTCTTGTTCTTTTCAGGAACCTTACACCCATGATTAATGTTTTGACTATTGTTTTACTGGACCTACGTAAACTGCTGCCAGTTATACATTAGAAATACTGGTGAAGAAAGTGTTGGTCATGTTATGAAATTTGGATTGAGAAGTTATTTTGGATTTGACAATCTCTGAATTTTTTCAGAAAAATCCGAGATTTTTTAGCAATTCCTCAGAATTTGCTGGTTAAGTAATCTAATTCTCTTAAATTGTATTATGGATGCTTTACCTAGTGATGAATCTAATTATTTGCAGAATATGATTACTGGAGCTGCTCAAATGGATGGTGGAATTCTGGTTGTATCTGCTGCTGATGGGCCCATGCCACAAACTAAGGAACATATTTTGCTTGCTCGCCAGGTGGGCATCTTCTGTTAGAATCTAAAGCATATTTAGTTTTCCCTTTTACATGTTTATGATGATCCAACCTTGAACTTACTTTTCCGAATGCTTTGGCTAGGTTGGTGTACCATCACTCGTGTGCTTTCTGAATAAAGTTGATGTTGTATCAGATCCAGAGTTAATAGAGCTTGTGGAAATGGAAGTCCGAGGTATTGTCCTTTGTAGATGATGTTTATGGAAAGTTATTCTTGCTTTTGTTTGATTTTCTTTTTATCTTTTTGCCACAAGCTCTTCACTAACATTTTTTTTTACAGAACTACTCAGTTTCTACAAGTTTCCTGGAGATGAAATCCCTATTGTTCGAGGATCGGCATTGTCTGCTTTACAGGGTACAAATGAGGAAATAGGTAAGAAAGCCATTTTAAAGTTGATGGATGCTGTGGATGAATACATTCCTGATCCTGTGCGTCAACTCGAAAAGCCTTTCTTGATGCCAATAGAAGATGTTTTCTCAATTCAGGTAAAATAGGCAGATAATGCGTATTTTGTCTAGATTATTAGTTCTCAAGAATTAACTGCATGACTGCAGCACCTTTTAGTGTTTTCTTCATTGTTTTGGGATTTCATTTCCTTAGTTTGTGTGGGAAACTCTTTCCTAATCTGAAATAGGCTGGTGAGCAAATAGGCAACCCAATTGATAGTGCTGCAAGTTCCCTTCTTTTCTTCATACAAAACTCTCACCATGGTTTTATATTTAAGATGTTTTGATTTGGAATGTCCGTTCTTCATCATATCATGTCATATTTGCAGTAAACTGGGCATAATGCCTCATTCTTCAATTGATATTCTTGTAAAATAATTTTTTCTTGTACATGAAAAAAGATGTGCTCTCTGGAATGCTGCTCCTTTAATTTGAATGTTTGCATTTATTGAAGGGACGTGGAACGGTTGCGACTGGACGTGTTGAACAAGGGACCATCAAAGTTGGTGAAGAAGTTGAAATTTTGGGACTATCAAAAGTAAAAGTTCATCTAACCTTCTTTTTTTTATTGCTTGTCAAGCATCCTCATTTACTTCTATCCATAAATTTGTTGAGCTGTGATTTACTGTAAGACTCCTTTGAATATTAACCAACAAGTCTGGAGGCTGTTATGCTTAAGTTTAGTCTGGCTGTGAAATTTGAGTGAGATTGCACTGCATATTATTGTACTCCTTATACTGAGACTTTTATTTGCAGGAAGGTCCTAAGAGAACTACAGTGACTGGTGTTGAGATGTTCAAGAAATTGTTGGATCAAGGACAGGTAAGTCAACAGCCTGAGCACTATTTACTATTTTGGCCTCAGATTCTTCTTTACAGTGGTTATTAAATGACTGGTGAGTATTTTTATCTTATTAGGCTGGAGACAATGTGGGTCTTCTCCTTCGTGGTTTGAAACGAGAAGATGTGCAACGTGGGCAGGTAAGTGGCAGGCAAGGTTAATGAGAGAATGGAAACGATGTTTTTTTTTTTTTAATTCTAGATTTCATTTCATCAAGTTTATAAATTCATTCTAGATTTGTTTTTATCAAATTTATGAAGTGCACAAATTCTTATTACTTGGATCTGTGTAATTTTGGACCAAAAATATTTGATCCTTGTGGTAGATACCGTGTAAAATTGGTATCTCATTTAATATCCACTTCAGTTGGCATCATTATGGTCATTATTGATCAATGCATTAATCACATGAAAGAATCTTACTAAAAGTATGATGTATATTGATGTTTGAATTAATACAGGCTTGCCTTTATTATCTTGTTTCCACTCATTATGTAGGTTATTGCCAAGCCTGGAACTGTGAAAACTTACAAGAGATTTGAGGCAGAAATATACTCCCTCACGAAGGATGAAGGAGGGCGTCATACTGCATTTTTCTCCAACTACAGACCTCAGTTTTACTTGCGAACTGCAGATATCACTGGAAAAGTAGAGTTGCCAGAAAATGTGAAGATGGTCATGCCTGGGGACAACGTGACTGCAATCTTTGAGCTAATCTTACCAGTTCCTCTTGAGAAAGGTCTGTTAAACTAGAACCCTCATTCTGATTTTCTGGTTCAAGTTACCTATTGATCTTCCTTGGATGCAATAACCTGCTCCTGCCATGCAACTTTAAAAGGCATTTTCCTTTTGATTGTTATTATCTTTTGTGTTAAATTCTTGGGCACATCAAATCTGAAATTGACAATTGACATATTACAATCAGACCTAATGTTGCATGGCTGAATGACGAAACTTGTTGTAGCCTTGTCACTGTGCATTGAATACATTGCATGTTCTTGATATGGTAGGACAAAGGTTTGCCTTGAGGGAAGGAGGAAGAACAGTTGGAGCAGGGGTAGTCTCAAAAGTGCTTCAGTGAGTGGTGGTGACGATGGATCCTAAAGGGGCAGGTTAGAAGGCCAGATTGATATTTGATATATAAAAAAAAGTGCCTTGTGGTTGGTTATTGGACTTGCACCGATGCAATGTTTTTCCAGGTGCTGCTAAAAAAGTTAACAGTCGGTGGATTGTTGTCTGTAATTCCACATCAGTCGCGGACAATTAATCGACATGTTTTGACCATTTTGCTTCGGTTGTTTTCTTTTTATTTTTAAATAATATCCGTCAAAATAGTAATGATTCTAGACTAATACCCTATGATTGACCTTTCTTTGAAAAAAATTCTCTATTTTTTGGGTGAATAGGGCTGGTTGAGACTGTAAAAGTTTGTTTCAGGAAGAATTGGTTGAATGTGGTGATAATCAGTGTAAATTACCGAGTCCATTTTGATTTTGACACTTGAGAGTGTAAAAATTCCAGCTCTAGATTTGTGCCCGTAACTAGAATGCGGCCAAGAACAATCTCACAGTAAAATTCAGATATTCATGATCAAGCATTAGAAATCGTATTTACGGCTATAGATCCTAAAGCAAGTAGCTGAATCTGCCGAATTAATAAAAATGCAATGATTCACATCACTGAATTACAATGTATTATTAGTAAAAAAATATTTTATCCATTTATATTTGTTTAATAAATGTTTAATTTATAAATTTAAAATAAAAATAAAGTTCATGATGCAATGTTTTATGGAATAAATATTTTACAAAAAAAATATTATAAAATTACTTTAATTATAAAAATTTTATTACAAAATATTGTTTCTAAATATTCTTAGTTAGTTGTATTATGATTGGTTATTAATTATAATTTTTTTATTATATTTTTTCCTATCATAAATTGAAATATAAAAAATATTTGAAACTAATATGTAGATATTTATTGGATGATATGTGTACAAAATTGATTTGCAGAAAAATTTTATATGAAGAAGTCATATATCTATGAAAAGAATTATATGATAATTATATAATTAAAATTACTAAATTATCTTATATATAGATTGTTATGATTTAATCTTGATTACGTGTTATCTTAATCAAGAATAACAAATAGGTAAATATTGAATATAACATAAAATTATATAAAAATATTTGAGTAATCAATAAAAAATTCATTATCTTATATAAATTAAATAAAATATTGTATATATTTTTAAATAGTATTTGTTGTGAAATCCTTAGTCAATATTGAATGAATTTTAAAAAGAATTTCAAAATTTTATTTAAATAATAAAAGATTATAATATTAAGAATTAACATAATTTGATAAAGCATATATAATTAATGTTATAATTACACCGAGAAGATTGGTTACTAAAATGTTAAGTTAAACTACTTGTAACTTTCATGATATTTAAGAGTTTATAATAGATTGTTAGATATTATATTTGATTTTCAAATATAAATCAATCAATTATTTAATTGATAATAAATTAAATTATTTAATTTATTTAACCTAATTTTATTTAAGATTATGACTTATATTTGATCCAATTTATTAGAAATCTAATAGGTCACACACATAAAAATTATTGGTTATAAATTAAAATGAAATGATTAATCAAGTGTTATTTAATTGTAAATAAATTTTAGTGATTAAAAACTAGAATATAATTAATATAAGAAATTATAATTCTTAACCTAGAAAAATTAAATAGAACTTTATTAAATGAATTTATAATTTTTTTTGTAAAATAATATATAACATTATTTAAGATGTAAACTGATATTTTATTATTTATAAAATTTCTAGATTTTTTTATAAATAAAATGTTATGCCTATTATTTTTTTAAAAAAAAATAAGAAAAATATAATATGTAAGCATCTAATATATATATATATATATATATAGTAATCTATTTTTTAAAAGGAATAATAAGATTTTTTTTACTGAAAATGTGTGTAAATCACCATTAAATTTCAACCTGATCTGAAAATAAATATTCAAAGAAAAAAATAATTAATTTTTAAATAATCTCTCAACAATTCTAAATTTTTATATTTAATGAGATTCTTAAAACTCTCAAAAAAAAAAAAAAACTCATTTTCGCTTCGTTTATATATTTTCAAAAACCTCACATCAGCTACTTAAGTGCACGCTGCAGGGGATCCTCCTAACCCAACACTTGCACTGAACTTAATATCTAACATAACAACGTTAAATAGGACATCTTTAATTCTATTAACAAATTTCTACGGTGGCTTTTTTAGGTTTTTCTGATACAGACTTACACTTCATTTCCCTTTCATTTACAAAATCGATCACAGAATTTACTAGAAGAGCGATCCATATTACGAGCTCCGTTCATGGAAGACCCATCCTGTATTTATAGCTCAAGCTGAAATGCAACAGCAGACTGACGTGCAATGGCAATAAACCTGAGCCCATTTAATCATCACTTGCTACATAATTTGCAGTTACACTCTCTACCCATCAATTATCCAAACCATAAGGCATTTCCATAGCAGCATGTTTCACAACTTCACCACTTGATGCTCATACAAGCCTCAGCACTACTACTGCCATCACTGTTACAGCTCTGAAGCATATGTCATGAAAACTTTTATCCACAATCCTAATTATTTCCTTATCCTTCAGACCCACCTTGCTTGCATGTTTGCTAATGTAAACAACCGTGTCCTTCAATTTATTCACTGCCCAAGAGAGCCAGACCAGCCCGAAACCAATGCCTGTGCAAAACAGTTTACATGCACTGAAGGGTACTCTCCTGCAAGCTACCTTGCAGATGACAGAAAAAAGAAGAGCAAGGCCTGTCCCAGCAATGCCAACAGAGAGCTGGTTCAGAAGCAAAGTTCAGGGCCAGATTTCTTCAGAGACAAGACTGCTGTTTTCTCATGTCGCCTGTCCATCATCAAAGATAGAAGGCTCTCACATGCATTGAAGTAGTTCCTTTTGTAGACAACACTCTCTCTACCTCCCTTTCTAGTATTCTTCCTTTTTCGAGATGGCTTGATTTTCACAGGACTGCAAAAATAAATAATACTGTATTAAATGAGAACAAAATGTAAACAAGTAAAGCAGGCATCTAGAACACCACATTTACAGAAGACGATGCATGTACTTCATATGCACAAGTAAATAAAAGTACTGTTGTAACCTTGTAGGAAGTCCATGTTATGAAAACGGAACACTATATCAAGGACTTGTGTAACTCTGTAATCATCTTAGTGATAAATGCTCATCTTGAAACATTACTGAATTTTCAATCTATCAAAATGCAAAAGAGTATTGCAAGCATTACATATCCAAAGAATCTAGCCTCACTTCACCCACCTAAAACCCTCCCAAAAGCACTCCTAATCCATGCCTAAATATTTCAAACCCTCAAATGCAAGACTAATAGTAGATAGAAAGCAATATAATTCGAGATAACAAAAATCAGGACAAAGTCTCTCATTATGGGCAACTTCATGTTGAATTGTCATAAAAGATTGGCAAAAAGAAAATGACAAATGAAGTGCTTTTGCAATGGATAGATTTATACCTCTTCAAAGTAGCAGCTGTCACATCTCTGACCTTGAAAGAAGACCCCGTAATGGTAGCATCTACTTTACTTGTATCAAGCCTGGTCAATCAAATGATTGCAGAGTGAAGTATTATAGCTATAGCTTGATGATATTTAGAAGTGAATATAAAACAGCTATAAAATAGCATGAAAAAAAAAATTAGCAACGGTGAATCTTGTTGCAAAAATTGAGTTTCTGTGTCAATTTCAGCAGCTTTAAACAGAAAAGGTCCACTACACAAGTGTCACAAGACATTTTTTACCTAAAAACTTAACTAGAATAAGATTTGTATCACAATTGCCTAATCCAACTTCCTGAAAATGAAGGAATAAGAAAATATCAAAGATCCGGGATAAAATAGAACAAGAAGGCCAGGAGTTACACAAGATAAACCCAGCAAACCATGAAGGAATTTGGCATATGGTGTGAAGAAAAATCAATGTTAAACAGCAATATTTTTGCTAAAATTTGAAGGATATTTAAATTGGAACAAGAGACAAAGGTTTAGGGCATGTAGAGAAATATCTAAAGCATAAATGGATTGATACAAAGGTAAAACATGTTCTGTAGAATAACCTAAGCGGCCAATTTAAATTAGTTCCAGGCCAAAATCCTTATCCTTAGGGGCAATTATCTAATTCTTCCAAAAGCTCCTGCATAAGGTTTCTTCTTAGAACTTGCTCATCTTCAAGAGACTCAATGAGTGAATTTAGAACTAACTCCTACAATTTCATGTCTATTAGTTTGGTGACAATTGTGTTGGTACCATGCATTGGCCATGGTAGTCTAGTAAACCAGTGGTGCATGAAAATCTCTTTCATTCTCAAACTCCCTTATTAGGTAGTCTGGGGTTGTATAAACTTGGATATCTCCCTGCTGGCATATGCGATGGTAGAAGATGCTGGGAGGAGAGGCAACATGCTTATTGTGTTTAAATTGGACTTTGAAAAGATGTACTATTGGATTGATTGAGATGTTCTCAACTATTGTGTAGAGAAGAAATTTGGTATTAAGTGGACATAGTGGATTAAAGTTTGGCCATGTTTATTGCATTGCCAACGACTTTGAACATGGGATCTTGAGTTCGTACTTTCTGCAACAAGTTTGTCATAGTGATCCATTATCTCCATTTTACTCACAAAGGTGTTAGAATAATCGAGAGGAATGATCAATAAAGAGGTGGTTTAGAAGACATGAATATCAATCCTAGTCAGATTCTTGCATTTCACCAATAATGCTATCTTTTTTGTTTATTGTAATTGGTAGGGCTTTGGATGTGTTGAGCTTTAGATTTTGGGAAGATGTCTAGGTAAAAAACTAATGGTTTCTAACAAGGATGATAATCCTTATCTATATATGAGAAAGATTACCATTGTGTATGGCAGCCGTTGCAGGAACGAGTTTTTCTTTCTCAATATGCACTTCAAAAGATTTGTCTTTTATTTTGGGCAACCTAGACTCTAGAAGCAACCAGCAAGTTCTCTAATTGAGTCAATATGTCAAGAACATAGATTACACAGTCAATTGAGTACCCACTTATACTATTAAAATGAAAAGGAGAACAAGGAATGGACTCAAGTTGAACTTGGTGAATTTTTCAATAGCATAACAAGAAAAAAAGCTGCCATATGCTTCTGAGTAAACAGAACCAGGTCTAAATATCCATACCTGCTCAAATGGGGGATGAGCATTGATTGTTTTCTCCACGTGATTGAGTTTCTAGACAAGTAAAATTCAGCAACTGTAGAGAGGATATCCATCATCTCCGTCCCGCTACCAGTTAGCGATACCTGACCATCTGGAAGAACTATAAGTTTTGAACTGTGGGCCATATCTCCCAGAAAGTCCACCAG